CCAGTACAAACATAGAGACAAAAATTGTAAAAAATGTTATTTTGCTATGTATATTTATATGCATGTAGTAAAAACAGTTATTTTAATATTACAAACAGACACTCTAATTTTTTTGATATGTATATGTATATGGTTTCCACGCTTGGCAGGCAAGTTGGAAATCACGGTTGATGTGATATATGACATTAAATCATTTTATAAAGGTTTATGTCTTACATAAGAGCCACATTATTATTCATTAAAAGCCAGACTTCTATACGTATCCTCATTCATTAAGTTAGTGTGTATCATTGTTTGTATATTCAGTCGCACAAACCCCTAATGAAGTTAGCAGACCGCGAGAGCGTGGGTAATTCCATCAAAATCATTCAGTTAGCGAGCTCAAAGTAATTAAAACAAGTTTCTTGTTAATTAATTTTCTTGCAGCTAAGTTTCATGAGAGGCTTTCGTCTGTATAAGTTCTAAATTTAAGAGAAGCAGATGCTTGTCGCTGCTCAGGACTGTTCCGAAGGGTTAGACAGATTGAGGCACGTCTGCCTACTCCTTGAAGGTGTGATGTAACGTTTTGTCATAGTCATTATACAATTTTTTTAATGATCCTAAAGCATAAACATAAAATTCGAGACATGCCTGTAATTTTTTAAAAGCACGTCCATTAATTTAATGAACATTTGTAAAGAACTATAAAAAATACATTAAACTATCATCCCTTTTATGTTTGCAATTATTCATGATATCAACCCTAAAAATAAACATGAAGCTACCACGGCGCCATCGAGCCAGGGAGTGCCGCCGACGCCGCTAAAGTGAAATGCTACGAGTATTGATGTCCAAAGTTATTTTCAGCCAGAACCAACCTCAATATTTTAAATTTCGAATTAAACGCCGACTAAGTAACTATAAACATTTGACAAAAAACTGGACAGTAGCATTTTCTGACAAACTTGAACTGTTTATATTGCGATCTGCCCAGAGAAGAGATTATGGCAGAACTTTATGTAGTAAAGGAGGCTGATTGTCCAGAAATCCTGTCATATATTGTTGGTAAAAGAAAGAAAGTACGTAAGCAGTGTTTATGACCTTTTTATCGACTTTCATACACAAGTAGAGTTACCCCCGTTTGTGATTCGAAACTAGTACCTAGAGCTTATTCCTCAATGAGTAACCCGCGATTTAATTAATTTAGTATGTTTCACTATAGTTATCATAAAAACAAGTAGAATTGGTTTTAAAACTTCGTACACGAGGTTTTTTCAATGCTTGAATGAGTTTGCTCTTTTTATATTGTATGCACATGTGTCTTGTAAAAGTGCTTGTAATGCTCTGATGGAGATAAATGCTTTAACCTTGTCTTTGAATCATAAGAGGTACTGAGATTAAATATTTAGGTATTTATGTAATACGTCACAGTGGCATTAAGTGCCGTAATAACCGCACCCCTTCGGGAATAAAAGGCGTGATGTTATGTTGTGTATTTCTGTATTCATAAACACATACATAATTTTACAGCACAAGCCAAAACTAGTTTTTTTTTGTACTGATGTAACGATACAAAACAGTGTATAATTATGTTATTATCTCAGGTAGGCATCTAATATTATTATTACCTCTGGATATGAGACACCTAAAGGCAGAAGCGTGACGGATTGCAAGCGACGAGCTGCGACGCAATAGGAACGGTCCGAGCGTGATGCCTTGCGGCACGCCATGCAATGCAAGATTATGTGCAAGCATGAGCCGCTATTACCTTATTCAATTATGTTCTTGAGTACGATTAACTCGCAGAATTTATTGTGTCAAGCATTATTTAAAAGTTCTATAGGTATCAAATTAGGTTTAAAATACGTTAGTTGATTGGTAGCTTTGTTAAAATCAGTGCAAATATTCATTACCAAACATTGGCCACATCATCGCTTACCATCACCACGAGATGGTGGCCAAACATCAACTTATTAGGAATAAAAAAAAATAAGGTCTGACTTATAATCAATTTCAATATTAAAGTGTCCATTTATTTATACCTAAAACCTATTGATTTTGGCCAAACAAACAATGTAATGCACTCACAATAAGAGTAGTATTAGTTCTTTTTTATTAAGTCATTTTTCTTGTAATAAGACAACGTAAACGACTTTTGTTGCTCAATAAAAACCCACCTTGACGACATAGCCACATAGTGCAATTTTATTTGTGTGCTTTGAGGTGGGTTTAGCGTTAGTCCATTGATTAAAGCTTAGCAGGTTCACAGAGGACAGAGTGAGGTCAAAGCGGTGGAGCCACAATATTGGTGTAATTTTGTTTTATTTTGTGCTCGTGCACATGTTTCTTGTTTAACAGGATTACGATAGAAAGAGATGGTGGATGAGTGAATGAAGAAGTTACAGTTTAGTAAAACTAATTAGTTTACTTTTCCTACTTTATTGGAAAGAATGCTAGCAAAATAATAACAGATACAGATTTTTCACAAAATAATCTATTTAACAACACAAATGGACGCATCGTTAAAATTTTACAACTTCAATAGTTCAAATCCTCTGTGGAAGGTCGCAATAAAATTTTATATTGTACAAAATGTTCGATAAAACTTTACGGCTTCAAGCTTTTGTGATATTTGCCTTTGGATAAGCGATCCAAAAATTCTAATACTAATTCATATTCAGCCAAATTTCTTTTATGCTAAAATGAAAATCAGCACCGTTTCACATGTGTCTGACTATCAAGAATTTTATTAGTTTTAAAGTTGCACAGAGGTTACTGTCAATTGCTTCAGATTCATCTATTTCGTCACCATAACATAATTTGCGTAATTATCTTAAAAGTGATGTACGCACACAGATAATTCTCCTTCACATTTTGATACATTTTCTACGGCAAGATGCTTAGATACTTACCAAGTACCAAACCTTTATTGAAATTAAGCCAGCCCCACAATATTGTGAATGCCAATAATGTACCAACGAAAGAGAACTTGCTTAATATTCCAAAATGGCAAATCCTATTTAAAAGTTTCGTATTTGTTAAGAGTTATCTAAATCCGTGGTTTTAAGACGAGAATCTTTCGTCTAAATTGCTTGCAAAATTCATTGTGTGTACTAAAAACTTTGTTACCGCAGTTTTATGATTATTTCGCTCTTGGGAAGAGTGCTGTTAATAGAGTTGTTACTATATTTGTAGGTAGCATTCTTTATGCTATTATTTTAATGTCTTTAATGAATAATGTGAAGAACTTGTTCGAATGCATGATTTGTAATATAAATATGGTTTCCATTAACGATAAATTATCATGTGATTAACTTCATGCGTTTGATCATTAATTACTACTACTACTATTAACTACACAATTCTATATTGATTTATTTTCTTGGTAGAATATTCTTTAATATTATAATATTCGTAATTTTCAAATACAAACGCGTTACTCATGTCTAATTTCTATTTCAAAAGTCACTTATTTAGAAACACTCCATAATTTCTTAACCGCAGCATAGTAATCATTTTGTAGATTTAATAATTCCTAAAGCTAGTCTGGGTAAAACATTCTCAGAAAGAGAATTTCAGATGTCTCATTAATATGTTCATGATCTTCAAATTGGAACGATGTTCATTAAAGTACGAACACATGTATCACACGCCAGTCAACTATAAGATGAACTGGGTAATATTTCTGTCGCTTCAATCTGCGTTTTAGAACCAGTCATGAATTCGACTAACAATTATTTTTATTCGTTTGTAAACTACAGTCTGTATTCTATTTGTGTCTCACTTAACTGGAAAGTAGACCTATCGACATTTATCTTAAGATTATGATTGTTCTTGATAGACCTGATATCTTAATATTTTGTTATGTTCCACCACTACTGCGGTCTGATGGGACGCTGGCTTACACCGCAATGGAGAAAGCGGACTTATTCGCCTCTCTTTTTGCGGAGTCTTCGCGTCTTGATGCTGATGGCGCTTCACCACCTTCTATACACCAAGTATGCGAGACTAACATGTCGGACATTCGCATTCGACAGAAGGAGGTCTGCAGAACGTTGCGCAACCTGGACGTGAACAAAGCCAGTGGTCCTGATGGAATCCCGGCCGTAGTACTGAAAACTTGTGCACCTGAGTTAGCTCCAATCCTGACACGTCTGTTTCGCCTATCTTTGGAGACTGGTCAAGTGCCGAAAGCATGGAAGCTGGCCAACGTGCAACCTGTGCCTAAAAAAGGTAGTCGTGCCGACCCTAATAACTATAGACCTATCTCGGTCACGTCCATACTCTGTAAGAGTATGGAACGTGTACTGAATAACAGGCTCCTGGCATACCTTGAAGGTAACGATCTCCTTAGTGATCAGCAATACGGATTTCGCCGAAACCGATCTACTGGGGACCTTCTTGCATATGCCACCCACATCTGGAGCGAGGCCATCGAGAAACACGGGGAAGCGTTAGCCGTATCGCTCGATGTCTCGAAGGCCTTCGACAGGGTCTGGCACGATAGTCTTGTTGGCAAGCTTCCCGCATATGGACTCCCCACTGGTTTGTGCAGATGGATAACAGACTTCCTGAGGGATCGATCCATCCGTGTGGTCATTGACGGCTGCTCATCCAATCCACTTGGTATTAATGCCGGGGTTCCTCAGGGGTCAGTACTCTCAGCAACACTTTTTCTGTTGCACATTAATGACCTGCTCCAGCCCGGTATCTTTGGGTACGCAGATGACAGCACCGTTGTTGAGAGGTATGTGTCCGATGCGCGAACCAGTGCAACTCAAATCCAGTCTCTGAGAGAATCTATGGCAAAAAAAAAAAATGTTGTACATACTTCAGAGTATAAAGTGATTGAAAGCTTAACCTCCGACACAAAATATGGTTATTTATTTGGTTGCCGTTTATGTGCATTTTCTTTCGCCATTATCTCAGGTCCTTCGAAATCAATCTTTTCACCATTTAGTTCTATATGAAGATAGTTTGATCCAACACTAAACTAATACTTAAAAAATTTGTAATCTTACCTGCTCCTTATCTTCTTGAGACTTTGGCCATAGTGTCACATTCAGCACGATCTCTCCCATATCTTGAGTCGGCTTCCCAGGGTCTCGGAGACACAGTACTAGGTCCTGTGTCCTGCCAAGTTCTAGGGCGGTCAGGTCAAGGTGACAGGAACCCATGAAGTCATCTTGTAGACCCCAGTCGTAGTCGAAAACCTGTGAAGTTTAGGAGGTGATAAAAACAGTGAGAATGATTTGATCAAAAGTATAGTACAAGTTTTTGGGACTTTCAAATTAAAGAAAATTTTCAATCATGCCACACGATATGAAACTATTCCCAAAATTAGCATATGACAAATTATTAGGTACCTGAGACTGATAACCAGCTAAAAACAATACACTTCCTAAAGTCGGATAAAAGGGGGTGTTTCATTTAGTAATGTGCAAGTCTGCCTACTCCTTTGGGGATGATAACGTTGAAATTAAAGTTACTTTAGTCTTGAAACAAGTTACGACTTGTTACAAAAACATGAAATGGGCAGTTGTAATGTAATCAAATAACAAGGGCGAAATAAAATTATTTAATCAGAGAGTAACAAAAGAGTGTAATAAATGTCGTACTTCTAGACTAGAGGTCGCTGACGTAACTGCTAACATGAAAGAGTGTTATTTTTTTTTCAATTACAAATTCTAAGCAGAATTATGTAGGTTACACTGGATTTGGAATCGTTCTTATGATTTTAAAACATGAAATGAAAATAAAATGGTGTTTTAAACTCAAGTTTTTGTTAGACTTCGACCTTGAAAAACTCTTTAAATAGGGTTAAAAATGCCTAAACATAAAATAACTTATTCAAAAATAATACTGGCAATATAATTTTGAACGACTCATCTTTCAAATATTACAGTTATATCGCCACTGTACCAGCTGTATATACCCACGTTATTATTGATAGTTATCCTCTCGCGTCCGAGCCTAGTGCGGGCCATGATGCGGAGCGAGGGGGATTGGGATGCCGTCTCCTCCTTTTGCAAAGCAGTCATGCTAGCTAAGGAGGAGGCGGGACGCGTGAGGCAGCGCTTAACCCAGCCATCGCGAAGGACACACCGGGCGTCGGGGATCGCGGGACGATCTCCGGCCACCGTAACCGCGGGCCTGCGGACGGCGAGCATGGGTGGCTCCCCGTCCGACCAGAAACAGACCCGAGCGTACGGCGCGTCGCGTTCCGCG